AAAAAAATGCGAAAAGTGGGTAAAAGTATAGAAGCAATAAGCATTTGTACGATTCTTATGACGAACATTTACAATAGAGTTTGTAACGTAAACACATTAGTTTATTGCTCCGTACGAATTAGAAAACATCAAATTTCCAGTAAGTATTTCTAAACAGTTGTGCGAATACTTATTGCTTCAACATTTACATCGATTAATTGTTTTTATCTTGTTAATTTCGCAACTTACATAAATAGCTATTTTTTTTTTGTAATCTATCTATTCTAGAGATTTCCGAGAATATGTAGAATGTCATTGTTTATAACAAATGAGTTAATCAATTACAATTTTACATAGTTTTTTTGGAAATTGATCGGTATACGAATAGTTTCTACACCCACTGTAGATTCGAAGGTTTAGCCTGGACGTTGATATCTCAGTGAGTTAGGGCCTTCATTTTTATATGTATAAATTGCGCGTTCAGTATTTCCATATCAATGTGATACACGTACTAATATCTCTGTTGATTTATTATATAAACGTTATCATAACAAAAGTATAAAGCAAATTTTTAATTATCTCCACCTTCTTATCGGTTCCTACAAGTTGCCACTTCTCATGTATATAAGTATCTATTAATTTGCTGATTTAACAATGTCGTTTAAGTGCAAGGCATTCATTTTAATGTTTTTGACAATAGCGATAAAGAAGATTAATATCGATAAACCCGTAATCAATTACATGGAGAAACACCCATGGTTGTCAAAATCTCCTTTACATAATGAAATTTTCATATTTTTATAGTAATAATTTTATTTTTAATAATATTTTACTATTATTATATATATACATTTAATAATAATATTTGTAGTAGTAATAATAATAAATAATAAATGTCGACATTAAATTATTCTTTGTCGGTGAACATAAAGACAAAATGGAAATGGAAATTAAAATACATTAAAAAATTTGGACATACACAATTTGATAAATATTCAAATTGAATACTGCCGAGGAATTTTAAAACTGCAATCTGGCAGCTTAAAATTTGTAACATAGATTGCATGTGCTTAAGGTAACTCCTCCGTTTTCAAAATCTAGAAATCCTTATCCACAGTTTATCACATCTCATGACAATGCCAAATCAATAATTGATGTTAGGTAACTAAAAGTAGAAATTTTTCTCTTATGAGTGTACAAGATAAGCTTGATAAGGAAATCATGTGCCTATTACTAATTTATTTAGAACCTAACTGGTTTTATTCACTTTCAAATTTAAAGAACGACAAACGATAAATATTTTATTTTATTTTTATTAAATTTAAAGTATAACAAAAGTTTATACTTTATTATGCACTGTTTGTGGACTTTAAATAATGCAACATATAATATATTTATAATTATAATATATGTATGTTTATACATACTGTTTATCTTATGTTTCGCATGATTTCGATATTTATTAAATTGATTAATAATTATAATTGAATTATAAATTAATAAATAATTAACATTATCGACTTTAATAAATCCATGAAATTTTGTATTTTTACTTATGTTTATAAAAATTGTTACTTTTAAGTGCATGTGGTTACTTCTGCATGTGATTACACAGAGCAAGGAGCTAAAGGACACCAGATTAGAGATGCTCGAGGCCAGAGATGGACATTATTTAGATAAAAAAGTTATTTAAATAGAAAATCGAATAAAGATACATAACTTTAGCTTTATTCGATTACTGCCGGATAAAAAAATTTATTCGAAGTAAGTGTACTCAAAGGATAAATATAACTTAAATTATTTTTATCCAAAGGCTAAAGATACCTGATTTATCTGCAGAAAGTTTCAACCGTAAGGGTCGAATAACTTTCCAAGCGGTGTTTAGTCGGTGGTTGTAAAGTATAGTTATACATAATTATACATAGTAAAATAGGTATAATATAAACAAATTTATACAGGCGTAAGAAAGTGTATATTTGTGCATATAGACGTGTACTGTAGATATAAATTATGCTCTTTTTAAATGAATCTCTGGTTTCAAACCAGGTAGTTCTAGCCATCGAATAAAGATACAGGGTTATCCAAAAGTACCATTAGGATGTTGAATGAGAACATCTATCAAACGCCATGTTTATTTGTTGTCACGTTCTTTTATTTCTAACCTACAATGATAGACAATTTTAACTATAGAATCTTATGCGATTGCAGAGCGTATTAAAGTGATTAAAATTTATTTTGAAAATCAGTGTTCAATAAAAAATACCCATCTTAAATTACGTGATTTTTTCAGCGTACATAATCGTCCATCGGAGAAAACAATTAGAAATTTGGTTATAACATTTGATGAAACTGGATCTATTCATGATAAACCAAAGTCTGGCAGACCAAAAACAGTTCTGTCGAATGAAAACATTCCTGCTGTTCGTAAAAGTGTTGCTAATGATCCGTCAACTTCAATTCCACGTCGTTCTCAAGAATTGAGCATTTTTTATGGCAGTTTGTGGCAAATTTTGCATGAAGATTTGCATTTGCATGCTTTCAAAATTGAATTAACTCAAGAATTGAAGGAACGTGACCATTTGCAACGCAGAAATTTCACTAATTGGTTGTCAGAACATCGTTCAATTGATGCATTGTTTTCACGCAACATCATCTTCAGCGATGAAGCTCACTTCACATTGGATGGACACGTCAATAAGCAAAATTGTCGCATATGGGGAGATGAAAATTCAAGAGCCATTAAAAAAAAATCACTTCATTCAAAAAAAGTTACTGTTTGGTGTGGATTTTGGTCGAAAGGCGTAATCGGTCCATTTTTTTTCGAAAACGAGAATGAAGGTGCAGTTATAGTGAATGGTGCACGTCATAATGAAATGATTATTGATTATTTATGGCTGAAATTAAATGGAATCGACGTAAGCAATGTTTATTTTCAACAAGACGGAGCTACGCCACACACAACGCGTGAATCAAAATGATCAAAATTCAGTGGTCTGTTAATTTCAAGGAATGGTGATGTGAATTGGCGAAATAGTGATTTTTTTTCTTTGGGGTTATTTGAAAAGTAAAGTTTATGCCAGCAAA